AAGATGGGGTGGGTGAAGGTTGCAATTTTCACACAGTAGAAGACACTGAGCCAGGTGGAGAGCCATAAGGTGGCAGCGTTCAAGTAGTCCCACAGGAAGGCTAGAAACATCATTACAGGGATGTATGGGAAGACCACTGGATGCAGTAAAAGGTAACTGCTCTTACACAGCACCACCCACTGCAGACAGAAGCGAGTGGCCGTCAGACTGACCAATAACTTGTCACAAGGCAACAGTGTTCTCCGTAGCAACCACTCTTTGCCCAGCATTGCAGTTACGAAGCCATTGCCCAACATTGACACCAGGCACAAAAGTAATGCAATGATGGCCAAGACCACGGCTCCCTTATCAGTCATCCGGGGAGGTCCTAGGTCCATGTGATCATCATTCATCTCTCCCATGGACAAGTTGGATCCTGAGGCTTCAAGGACTATTTCTGTTGGGTTGTTCTGGAAGGTCCTGTATGTGTTTGTCCTTTCAGCTGCTCCAGTGGAGAGTCTAGGCCAGAGTAGAGGACACGCACTATCTGTCAAGGGTGAAAATGTTCCTTCTGCTCAGAATAGATGCAAATATCGTCAAGGCTCAGTTTCCAAAGTCCTCACGTCTGCCCATAAATTTGCTTGCTCTTCGGCCTTTTTTCTGCCCATGTCAACACTGGCGTGAATAACATATCAGGCTCCGGCATTTAGTGTCCCTTACACAGGAGGTTATACTTCTCTAAGCTGACACCTGAGACATGAGCACACACCTGCTGGTAGCTCAGTGACAATATCCACAGGCCACACTCCCAACTGAGGGTCAGAGCTCACATCCACGGCTGGGGTGACTGTTATGTCCCAGGCATTGTTCTGAGTGCTCTCCACAGTACTGAGTTCTCACAACAGCCCTATGAAGCAGGTGCTATGACGTACCCCTTTGACAGAAGGAAAACTGAGCAAAATCTCTACAGAGAGAGGTTACATCAAGTCTTATGATGGTCACAATCATCACAAAATGGAACAGAGGACACAATTATATGTAATCAGGCAGGCAAAAATTTTCAAAATATAAAAAAATTATTTGATAAGTATTGACTTTTTTTTGAGACAGAGTCTCACTCTGTTGCCCAGGCTAGAGTGCCATGGCGTCATCCTAGCTCATAGCAACCTCAAACTCCTGGGCCTAACCAATCCTTCTGCCTCAGCCTCCCGAATAGCTGGGACTACAGGCATGCACCACCATGCCCAGCTAATTTTTTTTTCTATATATTTTTAGTTGTCTAGCTAATGTCTTTCTATTTTTTTTTTTTTTTTTTTTTTTTTTTTGGTAGAGACAGGGTCTTGCTCTTGCTCAGGCTGGTTTCGAACTCCTGACCTTGAGAGATCCACCCAAGCCATCTGCCCGCTTCAGCTTCCCAGAGTGCTAGGATTACAGGCGTGAGCCACCATACCAGGCCTGATAAGTAGTGACTTTTAAAATGGCATTTCACAAAGGAACCCCCACCAGGATAGCTATACAACCAGTGGGATATGGCAGAAAGAGCCCTGGACTAGGAGTTAAGATGGCTTTAGTCCAAGCTCCCCCAACTGTGAGTTATAGGGTATGTAGTTGAAGCCCTTCCCTGCTTCATTTTGTCCATCAGTAAAATGTGTAAAAGTATCACCTATTCTAATTCACAGGATTATTTTAGAATCTTGATTTTTAGGCTGAAAGAAGACATTAAAGATAATTTTACAGAAAACGGAATGAGTCCCCAAGTTATAGATTAAAACTCCCACCTGAAGTCACATTTATACAGAGGGAAGACCAAGACCCAAACTGATTCTAGGACCAAAGCTCTTGCCATGGTTAACAATATATCCTACACCCTCATCTCCTTCACCCTTAGCTGGAGTTAGAAGACCAGATTTTAAGTCTTGTCACAATCACTATGAATCCTCAGGTAGACACTTAACTGCTCTGAACCCCTCTTTCTTCATCCATAAAAAATATGAATGACAAATAATTATGACCACAAATATATGAAAGCACTTTGGAAACTATAAATCTCTGCATATGCATAAGAAGTAATTATGATGATGATAATGACCTCTTAGAATGACTATCTTCCATTCCATCTGTCCTGTGGAGTGACACGCAGTCCAAGGAGAATTCAGGAGAGCACCAGGGATGCAATGGAAGTCCAGGACATTAAATGTTGGCCCATCAACATTAACCAGAGAAGGGAGGGGTAAGCAAACACTACATTCTCTTTAGGAATAAGCTTCAAAGGATAAAAAAATAAAAAATAAAAATGGCAATCAACACCCAAGGACATGTAAGTAGGTTAATGTGTCACAGGGAGCTAGGTGAGCAGAAATTGTTCTGGGTCATTGCTAAAAGCAATGCTGAAGGCTCAGGATCAGGTAGCATGAGAGAGGGAGTTTTTAATAGTACACCCATCTCCTGGCCAGCACCATAACCTGCCAGTTCCATGCATAGGACCCCCACAAAGAGAGAATAGGATTCACAAAACTCATTGTCTTTTCCCAATTCCCAGTCCACCTCCCAGTGGAATTGTTTTTCCAACACAAAGGCCAATTATAGTGAACACCATGCTCCTGAGTAAAGGAAAGGAGGTGAACTAAGGTAACTCATTCACTCTACCTTTCTGTGAAGATGTAAATTTCCAGGGGATAGTGTTCCCAACATCTATCTTTCTTGTCCCTGTTCCTCTGGCTGACATTTGGCTGTTTCCTACAGGAACTTGGAGAAAGGGGGCAAACTTTGGAGTCATAGCTCTGGAATTTGGCCAGCCGCAAACCCCCCGATAGATGGGAAATTCATATCTTTTCCCTCCACCTCCTACACTTTCAATGGCTCATAAGATGAGAAAGATGTGCATTTTACCTTCAATTCATTTAACAATAATTTATTAAGCATATCTTATATGTCATAATAATCCAATGAAAGGCACTACAGCTACAGCAATGAACTAAATATCCACCCTCAAAGTGCTTTCAAACACTTATCATAAACCACTAACATCTACAGGGCATATACTACATGCGATTAAGTTATTTCAAAAGGGTAAATAATCATTTGTGTTTGAATATGCAATGTGTCTTATGGTGATTCTTTTGTTGTTTGTTCTTTTTGTTTGTTGCATTTTGCTTTCTCATATTCAGATTTATCTTCTTGAGTAGAAGCCAAATCTGAGAATTTTTTAAATGTTCATAGCTAGTCTTTATAAATGTAATCATGAAGGTGGTAGGAGAGGAATTATGAGTAGATTCTCTATATGGAGAACCCTCAACTTGGTACTCTCTCTCTCAGAGGGTTAAAAAAGGAGTGACTCCCAGGCTGTGGTTCTAAATGTTATGTATCATCTTACTCCCATCCCAAGAATGTTCAGAATAGTTCAGCAGCAGCAGCAGCAGTAATGGCCCCATCACCATAGCAAAACAAAGATGCCGTCTTGTATGTTGGAAGGAAGAAGACATGGCATCAGTAAAGGAGGAGGAAATGTGATTATGTCCAGAATGATTAGATAAGTTTGGCTACAGCAGAGAATTCACATGGAATGGTGGCATATTTGGCTGAAAATTTAGGCTGGAGAGAGACCATAGAAAGCTTTGAAAGTCAAGGTGAAATATAGGATTGTATCTTTAGTCAAGATGGAACCACCAAGTGTTTTGGAGTTCTTATGAGCTAGAGTTTAGGAAAGGAGCTTGAGAACATCAACCAATTAGGAGCTCCTGAGCTAAGCCCACTAGATCTGAGATAACTCGAAAGTCTGTGAAAATGTGGCAAAATGTGAGTTGTATCACCATGCCCTACCCACCCAAAGACCTTCAGTAAAGTTCTGGAGCTCAGCCCGAGGGAAAAGCAGTCTTCCAGATGTCCATGGTTGAGGAGTAGGGACATAGAAGACAGACAACCTTGGTGTTCTTGCCTTCGCTGCCTCCACCCAACCCTCTTGTGGCTTGAGTCTCAAGGCCCAGTCCTCATAGTTTATTATTGCCATCCCTGTAGGCAGTCATTAGCTCACTCATGTGGTTGCAAAAAACCCCCTACTCTTTGTGATTGATGATAAGGCTGAGGCTAATATGTATTCCCTAGGTGCGATAATTCGCAGTTAGACTTTAAGGGGTCTATAAATTAATTGAAAGTCTGACCATGGTTTTAGCTTCCTAGGGCTTCCTCTATCCTGCCTCACCCTTTCTCTATTCTCTGGGAAAATCCCCTGTATTCTTCACCAGCAATTTGAGACTCTCTTTTAAAGCCTCAATCATCATCTTCCAAGAGAAAACTCCTCATCTCTGTCCCCTTCTCTTCTCTTGCCCCAGTTTGGCCTCCTGCTACCATTGTAACATAATGTTTAGGGGCTTCAGCTTCCCAGGATAGTTGGCCAATTTACCATAAATGCAATTCTTTATTTGAGAATTCCTTGTAACCTCTGTTCTGTCCTTTTATTCATTACTCCTGTTTTGACTAGTTCAAATATATGAATTTCCCTTAACCATGTCTGGTGTTTTCCTCAATCTCTTCTAGTCTAATGGTCACCAGTAAACTTTTTCAGGAGAAAAAAAAATATGACCATGCATCCTACCTGCTATGGACTGAATGTCTGCATCCTCCCAAAATTTTAAAATCCTAATCCCCAGTGTGATTGTATTTAGAGATGCGGTTTGGGGCAGGTCATTAGTTCATGATGGTGGAGCCCTCATGAATGGGATTAGTGCCCTTATAAGAAGGAACACAAGACAGATGATCTGTCTTCACCATGTGAGGGCTCAGCAAGAAGGTGTCTGTCTACAACCTGGAAGAGGATTCTCACCAGAACCCAGCCATACTGGCACCCTCAGTTTCAGGCTCCAGAACTGTGAGAAATAAATGTCTGTTGTTTAAGTCACCCAGTCTACAGTGTTCTGTTATAACAACCTGAGCTAACTAAGACACTACCACATGCAAATTGATTTTTAATTATATGCATGTATACTTTATTAATACATTATGTACATCATAAAATACACCAAAAGCAGTAATAAAAGGAGGAGATAAAAATAAATGGAAATTGAAGTTGCCACATTTTTCTTCCCACATCTAGCAGGTCACCTTGCACAAGTCCTGAGATGCAAACAGTTTGGATATTGTCATCCTAGGCAGCAGCAACCAGGATCCAAATTCCTGGGTGCGTGAATAGGAAGAGGAAGATCAAAATTAAGACTTGTAGAGAATTTTCTTCATTTTCCATCTACCTTCTGTTGGCCAAAACCTAAAAGCATTTCCACATCAGACAGTTCCTTTTACTGCAACACATAGCAAACACGTGAAGTCGTGAGACCTGTGGTGGCATGAAACTCAAGTATGCCCTCGCCCTTCCATGGAATCAAGCTGGAAAAGCTCCATGAGTGGGATCAGTCTTAAGTAGGGCACAAAAGAATGACAAAGATAGGCAGAGAAAGGAAGGAGGAAGCTGCAGGTGGGACGGAGAAGCAAGGCAGAAGGGAAGGACGTCTGGGAAGACGGGAAGAAGCTCTGCTGGGCTGCCATGGAGACTGAGCCGGGAGCAGAGCGAGGAACAGGAGGAGAGGTGGTGTCACAGGTGGAAGGTGCTGGGCAAGCCATGCCACTGTCAACAGACGAACTTTAGCTTGCCCACAAAGACAGCTGACGGCAGTTATGGGTCTCCGTGAAGGGAATACAGACCAGAAGGAAGCTTGGAGAACAGGGTTAGGCTTGTTGCATAGAGAGCCAGAGGGGCCAGTGAAGAAATGAGTCCAGCAGCTACAGCCGGGGTGATGTGGGACTCAGACTAGAGACTAGCAGCAGCAGAGAGGACAGTAGGAACACAGAGGGATGGAAAAAGAATTAGTGGAAAGAACGCAGAAAATGAAAAGAGAAAGGCACTCCCTGAAACCTTTTGCGTTCTTGCCACTCATGGGAGTCTTCATCCCCGGGACAGGTTGTCAATACTGATAACCGGAGAGTGGAACCACCCTTCGTCCAGGGTCCTCCAAAGCCTTGCGAGCCCGCAGCGCCGGGGCCGGAAGCCTGGTCTCCAGGGCCCTTCTCAGCTTGGGGCTGCTGAGCACCAGGATGGTGGAGTGCAGACAGATGCCGGAGTAGATGAACACCTCCCAGGCCATGCGCCAGTGACCCCAGAGAAGTTTGAGATTCATAGTAGAAATGTACAGGGACAGGAAATATGAGGTATAGAAGATAAGGAAGAAGACAAGTGACTTCAGAGCCGTGGTGTGAGCCTGGGAGCTGGGGTCACGGAGGCCGGGCCTGCGGTCCCTCATGCGCACCATGTGCCGGCACAGGGAGACCATGAGCAAGACGGTGGACACCAGGAACAGGAGGAACGGGATCGACAGTGTAAATCCTTCATGGAGGAGAAAATAGTGCCTCTGGAAGGCTTCTATTTTGTAAGCTAGAGTTCTGTTCTCACAGGCATTTAGGGAGGCAATCATCTGAATCACCATTAGATTTCCAAACACCGAGGAGATGGCCGTGAGGCTGCAGATGATCAGGGAGCCCAGCATCAGCCTGTGCACTGCCCGAGAAATCCTCCACTTCAGCCAGAAGAAGGTGGGGTGGGAGAAGGATGAGATCTTGACACAGTAGAAGACAGCAAGCCAGGCTGTAAGCCAGAAACTGAAGACATTGAGGAAGTCCCAGAAGATGTTAAGCAACAAGAAACAAAAATCAAAGGAGCTCAGGAGGCCGTTCAGCATGGCTACCCCGTGCACACAGAACCGGGTGGTGGCTATGCAGGCCACAATCGTGTCGCCTGTGGACAGTGCCTGGCGCCGCACCCACTGCCTGCCCAGCACAGTGACCATGAAGCCATTCTGCAGCATTGCAGCCAATGACTCCAGGCAAAAGATGAACAGGAAGACCATTGTCAATGAGGAGGGCATCTTCTCAAGGAAGCTTCCACTAAGATTCAGCTCCTACTCCGGAAGGCTGGAGGAAAAAACACCCAGTTGAGACCAGAGACCCAGACCCCCCCTTTCCCTGGATCTGTGCAAAAGCCCAGCAACCAATAAACACCCCAATGCCGCAAGATTTGAAAAGATGATTTCTGAGATCTCCCTTGGCTTGCAAATTGCTCCCAGCTCAATGACACCCTGTCTCTATTTGCATGACCTGCATTTGCCTATTTTTTATCAGAGCATCTGCAGGGAAATGTTAACAGAGTAGAGGCTCCAGGGTGATTGAAAATACTCATATTTTGCACATATTTCTTAATACTACTATTTCTTTCCTAACTTTTTCTCAAAAGCTGCTGGTACCCATATTACTATCCCTGAACCACAAACCTTCCCCGACTCTTCATGCCCCAGGTTAATATTTTATTCAGTAGCCTCTATATACTGTATTAAGACCCACCTCCTGAAAGGGTGGAATAGAAAATCATCCACACATACACAAAGCTTGAAATCATCAAGAAAAATCTCCCTGACCACTAACCTCTCACGCTGTGTAAAATCACACTGCCATCCTCCATACTGGAGTTCACGGCATCTCCAGTTAAAACGTGAATTTTTCTGATGTGTTAACATCAAATCTGTCAGCCGTTAACACCTTAGCGCCAGTGTGTTTCACAAAGCCAAATTAATCATTTCTTAAGAAGGATCTGAGGAATGACAGAGTAGATGAGTCATGAGAAGAAAGAGAAAAAGACAGAGAAGGAAAACTGATCCAGAAAGGACATCGCCACAGGAGGTGGGACAAGCAAGCGCTGGTGGTGTGACAAGAGGCGCTCGGGACACAGCTGGCCCCAGGAAGGGACTGCTTTACGTAGGGTGAGCCCTGTCCTGTAACAGTACTTATGACCTGTTAGAACACCTTGCCATTTATAAAGTGATTCCACATGCTACCATTTGCCTCCAACTACAGCCCACGCAAAGTGACATTGGTTCAGATCAGCCAACCCAGGCTCGGGGGGCCTTGAGGAAAGGTCCAACAGAGGTGGGCTATGAAAGGAAAGAATGCCTATGAACATACAGAAGGAGAAAGGGGAGAGACAGGAGGAGGGTAGAAGAAAGCAGAGGTGCGTGTGTGGAACAACAGGGATGGGAACCTCGTCTGCAGGTGCCTAAGATCCTGCAGTCAGCATCCTCCACCAAGATATATCACAGATGTTCACTCTGTATAGTCTCATTCAAGATTCTGCAGAGAGGTCTATGTGTGAAAGATTAAGGAGAAAAAAAAACAATGGCAAACATGTATAGTGGAGACCTCAAAAAAAAAAAAATCAGAGGGAGAGAAATTCAGCTGACTCTCAAATACTCAAATATAGCATTTGCTTAAAGAGCTGCTTTGTTTTTAGTAAACTCTTCAAAGATTATCAAAGAGTAGATAATCCAATCTGATCAACTGTTTTGCAACACAGCTTCAGTGTCTTGATTCAATTCTTTGCATGTTTTCCTCTGGCTCCTTCTTGAAGACAGCAGCGATGAGTGGCTTCTGCATATTTCACAACATTTTGGCTTTTCTTGAAATCCTCTGGCAAGAGCCCAGCTTCATGATGTCATCAAGAAGCAAGTTGGGGCCATGGTACACACACCCTGTTGTAGCCACATGAAACCAGGTAGGCATTGTGTCTTCATGGGCAGCCTTCATGTTCCTTGCACAGTCACCAAAGCGTGCCCTTTGCCAGAACCAGTCTTCCCTGCAACTTTTTCTTTTCTACAGCTGACAGCTCTACAAAGTGAATGTTTTCTCCTGTTTTAATGCTCTTCTAAACGAAGGCTGAAAGAGACCCTTTCCCCCAAACACTTGTTCATCCAGCTTTCAGCAATTTGCTAGATATGTCTTATAGAGGTTCCATGTCCCATTCATAGTCTGCCTCCAACAGAGGCCACAAGCAGGGTAATGCTTTTAGTCATTTTGAAGAGTCCTTCAATTATGAAATAGTAATCTAAACACTAGGTGTACTAGGTATATCAGATTCTCCAGTCTCTGGAGAAAAGGGTTTGATTAAAAGTCAGTTTTAGATTCAGATTCCCAGGTCACCTTCCCCTTTCCTATAACTGGTCAACTACCAATCCCTCCACCCTAGGAAACAACTGAAGTATAGTCTCTGGAAAGGATAAAACAGGATCTTTGAGCTGGATGTATATCAAACACAGTTGAGGCAAGGGTACTGTACTGAAAACAGGAAATTAGAAGAACAAATGCTTTTCTCTCACGTGGCTTTTAGAACTTTGGCACCCAGGCCTTCGTCTTCCATGCAGGAGATGAATATGGTCTTTTCCAAGAATCTGAGCATTCTAAAAGGAAGATCTAAAAACAGTGATATCAGGGGTTCTTCAAATAATTGGCCCTGCCAATCACCCTACAGTGAGGCCCATGGTTAACAAGTCCCACTCGTAATTTCAGAGTTTCCAATCAGCTTTTCCACCTTTTACTTAATAGGAGCAGACAATAAGGCTCTTGGGACATCTGAAAATACAATCTAACATGGATGATAAGACCAATATACAACAGCTACTATACACAAAACAATGCAAGAAGAAGAAAACTTTCCCCAAAAAATATCATTATTCTCAGAGTTAAGAGAAAGTAATAAAACCATATAAAATAACAGGATGCTGTTAAAAAGGTACACTCAAAAATCTTTAAAAGGAGAGCTCTTGACTGTGGCTCACGCCTGTAATCCTAGCTCTTGGGAGGCCGAGGCGGGCGGATTGCTCAAGGTCAGGAGTTCAAAACCAGCCTGAGCAAGAGCGAGACCCCATCTCTACTATAAATAGAAAGAAATTAATTGGCCAACTGATATATATATAAAAAAATTAGCCGGGCATGGTGGCGCATGCCTGTAGTCCCAGCTACCCGGGAGGCTGAGGCAGAAGGATCACTCGAGCCCAGGAGTTTGAGGTTGCTGTGAGCTAGGACGCCACGGCACTCACTCTAGCCTGGGCAACAAAGCGAGACTCTGTCTCAAAAAAAAAAAAAAAAAAAAAGGAGAGCTCTTGAGAACTAAAAAAATGATACCTAAAATTAAAAACTCAATAGAAAAGCCAGAAGATAAAATATATGAAATATCTCAAAAAATGGAGGCAAAAAAAAAAAAAATAATAACACTTTAGGTGAAAAACAAAAGAGGATGCCAGTCCAGGAGATTCAACATCCACTAGGAGTTCTAGAATGAGAGATGTAATAAATGGAGTGCAGAAAACCATCAACAAAATAATTAAAGAAAAATTCCCAGAACTAAAGGACATGAATTTTCATATTAAAAGGCTCAACAAGTATCTGGCCTGTATCATAAAATTTTAGAATAATGAGCATAAAGAGGAGATCCTACAAGCTTTTATAGAGGAAAAAGAGGACAGGGGAAGACACCAAATTCAAAACATTAGGAATTAGAGTGATTTTAGACTTTTTGAAAGTAATTTTGGAAGCTAGAAGGCAATGGAGCAATGCCTTCAATATACTGAAAGAAAATTATCTCTAACCTAGAATTCTCTATCTGGATACTCAAGTGCAAGGGCAAGTTAAAGACTTCTCAGGCAAGAAAATCTTCAAAATAACAGGGAGCTACTGGAGAATATGGCCCTCCAAAGCTAGAGAGTACACCGGAATAAAGGAAGACACAGGTGCAGGCAGTGTGAGCTCTAAGAGGAGGGAGAAGCAGAAGAGGCCACCACAGTGACTGTGGAGGAAGATCTCAGGATGGAGGGAGGCACATCAAGCACGAGGACAAGCACAGACTGGAGCAGGACAAGAGGCTCCAGGAGAGACTTTCTCAGGCAAACAAAATTTTAGAATACCTGATGAAGGTCAAAAATCAAACACAACAAAGCAAGCCATTGTTGAGCCGACAGGAAACAAAAATTTCTACAGGAAAGAAAAAGTAATTGCAGTTTTTTGGGTTTTGGGGTGTTTTTTCTTTTGGTCTGGGTCTTAGGCAGGTATTATTATTATTATTATTATTTGGGGGGATTCTGGATTGCAGTTTATTGCATGGTTTTACCATGAATAGTATCTACATTGTCATAATATTCCAACCATTGAATGTTGATTTAAACAACATTACAATTAAACTACTTTGAAAAGTGGGTGATAGAGAGGATTTGCCAAGGGGATTAGGATTGAGGAAGAACTTAGGGTTCATGTTCGATAGTGCAAAGTGTACCTGAGACATCAAAGTCAAAAGTATTATAGCAAAACAAACATGTAATTTAGAGACAAAGATATGAACACACACACACACACACACACACACACACACACACACACCCTCCCCAGCTGCCAGAGATGAAAGTAGCTGACTTGGGAAAGAGGAATTGGAAAATGATGGGAGCAAGAACCTCTGCTTTTCAAGATAAACCTGGTAGAAATATCTGGCTCTTTAAATTAGACACATATACCACTTCGGTAAAATCTTAAGAAAAAAATGATAAAAGCCAAAAAGAAAAGCAAAATACAAGCAAAAATAGCCAAATTATGCTTCTTTGGTTTTCATAAATGGTAGTGGCTCCTAGAAGCAAGGATTCATTTTCCTATTGCAATTAAATTTTGGGCTGCTGTCCCCCATAAACAGGAATTATAGTGATCTAATATTACTCATAATTTTATTAAAATCTTCCAAGTATGTGTTTTTCATAATCCTTTGGAGGAAGAAAGGGCAGAAGTCAATATGAGTCATGTTTCTAAAATGGCTTAATCATCTTGCTAAAAAAATATCATAATCTAAGATTTCCATTTTCCAAATGATGGAGTTTTTTCCTGATTTTTTTCTCTCCACTCCCCCTCCCATCCTCAAACATCCCCCATCCCCCACTCATCATTCCAGCCCTTCCTGGAGCCACAAGGGGTGAGGGAAATATTGAAAGTGGCAGATTACGAAATACTCCTTAGGGCAAGACCAGAGTGCGGTGACCCACATGTCACTCTTAGCGGTAGGACAGCGCTGGGCACAGGGTGGGGGGTAAATTAAAGAGGCAAATGAACAGCCTTCTGCCATCTTCCCCAAATGATGGGAAAACTCACATATTTCCACTTAAACCCAAGGGAGAACAAGTTTTTGCATCCCCAGCTCTCGACAATCTCCACAGAAGATTGCTACCCTTTTATTCGTCTGCAGCAATGAAGGACATAGAGGAACTTCAGTGTGGATAACGTGGTAGAGTTTCCAACTGGGTGAACATAGGGAGGGATTTCAGAGTGGCCGCGGGAACCCTAGGGAACCGGAGTGTGGAACCAACAGGAAGTGGGCAGCGGCTCGCAGGCAGGTAGGTAGGTAGGTTGGTGGATGAGTCCGCTTTTTCTTCCTCAGACAATGGTAGCAAAAGTAAGAGCAGAAAACATGTTTTCTTAAAGTCACGTGGTATTAAGTAGCTCTAGAAAAGAAATACAATCTCAAATTAAACTAACATTAATTGAAAACCTTGTAGCTGGTCTTGTGCTGAACACATTTGCATCCATCATATTTTTATTTAATCTTATTTAAGCATGCCATATGCGCTCCAGATTTTGTTCTTTATTATTAGATTCACTGTCTATGCCTCTGTTTTTTGTTTTGTTTTGTTTTTTTTCCTCAGAAAAATTTAGTGACACTGCTGCACCTCTACCTTTGCTCTAAATGGGACATCATGATACCATGCCACCACCCCACAGTATTTCCCATGGCCTGGTGGCGCCAAAAGAAACCAGTTTTGTCTCCTTGCCATTTCTCGGTGATTAAACCTCAAATTTCTGAACCAAAACTGCTGTTTTGTGTGACTAACAAGTGTTTTCTCACCTCCCTGTTTTTCCTCTTCCCCATAATATTTCTTATTTACCACCAGGTGGCAATGGGTAAATACGCCCAAGCAAGCAAACATTAGAAAGAATCAGAAAATAGCCTGACATTCCGAAGACAGCTACAAAAATAAAATGCTCATCACAGTGTTCAACGAGTTTAGGTTAATTTAGCATTGGTTTCTTGTAAAATGAATATAATTTAGAAGAGTTGGGCTTGAGTTTTATTTTTGTCACTTTCTCAACATGTACCCTAGTATAAGTCTCTCCCTCTTTTTCAACCTTGCTGTGTACAAATGTAATCATAAATTCCTGGCAAGGTTGGGTATATTTGGTGAGGCAATACATATAAAGATATGTATGTACACTGTTAAGCCCTATATATTTATTATTAAATAAAACAGGCACAACACAGGAAAGATAACAGATGCAAAGCAAAAGAAAGAAAATGCAAGCCCTATAAGGTATGTGTCTACTGTTTTCCTCTTCTGAAATTTCCCCACAACATTCCTACTCCAAAGTCATTTTTTAAATGTCCTTTATATTTCTTGCTCACAATTTTATACTTAAATCGTGTAACGGCATCTTTTTAGCATTTTGGAATCATGCTTCTTTCTTTCAGAACATCCAGTGGCCTCCTGCTTCATCTGTGTCTTCCTAAAGGGATCCTCACTGGTGGAGTGTCAAAGACCTTGAGGTAAATATCTTCCAGGTTCCCTGCCAACCTGAGATTTCAGGACTCTGACTCTTCTCCCTCTTTCCCAGTCATTGTCTAAGTACTTACCTCTTTGCTTTTCATCAGTCTCCCTGGGACAAAGTCCAACTTTACCACCACTCCAAAAAATGCCTTCAAGCTATTGACAATTTTAAATAGGCACAATTAAGATACCACCCCAATCAAGATAACTAGTAATTATGGCTTCTGCTTATTTTGCTCCTATTCTGAACCTGATACTTGTCTAAGTTGTGGCATCCCCACAAAAGGATTGTCCTGCCGGTGATTAAACCTCTCAATGAAAACTGTAGGTTAAGTTACAGCTGAGTCAGACTTGCTGAGGAGGGTCTCCTTGGAAGAGCAGGGTGAGCTCTTTGAAATCATGAGTGAGCCACTCCCCTGAGAAGAGTGGGTAAGCGTGGCCTTCCCCAAGGGAGGGCCAGATCCCCAGAGACAGAAGGGAGGCCATGGCTCTGGGTTTTTCCAGTGAACAAGAACCTGCTCTGCTCCTGGTCTGGAAGGCTTCTAGAGAAGAGAAACAGAGCCATCCTCTGGAGGAGGCACACTTCATGCCCCCACCTAAGTGTGAGGGCCCCTGCGTTAAAACAACACGAGGATTTATCTTTCCCCAAGGAATCGTTCTAACATGCGCACAACAAGGCAGACATAAGGGTACTCCTTGCTGCTTCATTTCTAATAGCAACAATCTAGGGGATGGGGGCAAATGCATAAACGTCATCATTAATTCACTGGTTCCTAATGAGGACAAATCCACCTCCCTAAAAAGTATTTAGGAAATTTATGTGGGCCTTTTTAATTACCACCATCTTTGGAGTCACTATTGGCATTTATTGTTTGGGACCAGAGTGTATCTCACACAATGAAGAATTTCCCCCACCCAGCAAGGACTTTGGGTGTCTTGCCAGACATTCATGTGTGTGAAAAACATCTGAGCCCAGAATTTAACTACACTGTATATGAACATAAAGTAATTTTTGCACAATTTTAATATATGATGACGTTTCTAAGACTGGAACCATCAAACAAATTGAGAGACATTGTTGGAACTTTGCTTAGTGCATGTCTTTATCATGAGTTGTTCATCATCTCAGAAATATCATAAAATTGATGGCAACATCACCCATGTTATTTGTTTATCTGTTTTGTATTTTGGGGTGTTTTTTATTTGAAAACATTAAGAGGGTACGAATATTTTTGTTACATGGATACCTTGTATAATGTTTAAGTTGGGTTTTTAGTGTGCCTGTCACCAGAATAGTGTTCACTATGCCCAATAGTTAGTAAGTTTTTACCACTCACCTCCCTTTCACCCTCCCCTCTTCTTGGTTTTCAATGTCCTTTACATCTCTGTGTGCCCATTATTTAGATCCCAGTTATTAGTGAGTATATACAGTGTTTGTTTTTCCATGCCTGAGATACTTCACTTAGGATAATGGTCTCCAGTTCTATTCAAATTGCTACAAAAGACATTATTTAATTCCTTTTTATAACTGAATAGTACTCCATGGTGTGGGTGTGTGTGTGTGTGTGTGTGTGTGTGTGTGTGTGTGTGTGTGTATATATATATCACATTTTCTTTATCCACTCATGAATTGATGGGTGCTTAAGTTGATTTCACATCTTTGCAATTGTGAATTGTGCTGTGGTAAACACTCCAGCGCAGATATATTTTTGATAAAAAGGACTTCTTTTCCTTAGGTAGATACCCAGTAGTGGAATTGCTGCCAGATTGAATGATAAGTCTAACATTTATTTCTTGGCAGAATCTCCAAAGTGTTTTCCATAGAAGCTGTACTAATTTGCAGTCCCACCAACAGTATAGAAGTGTTCATTTCTCTTGGCATCCATACCAGCAGCTAATTATTTTTTCACTTCTTAATAATGGCCATTCTAACAAGGGGTAAGTTGGTATCTCACTAGGCTTTTAATTTGCATTTCTCTGATGATTAGTGATGTTGAACATTTTTTCATATGTTTGTTGGCCATTTGTCTATCTTCTTTTAAAAAACTTCTGTTCATGTCTTTTGCCCACTTTTTAATGGGGTTCTTTGTTTTTTCTTGATGATTTGTTTGAGTTCTTTGTAGATTCTAGATGTTAGCCCTTTATCAGATATATAGTTTGTGAGTATTTTCCTTCCATTCTGTAGGTTGTCTATTTACTCTGTTGATTATTTCCTATGCTGTGCAGAGCTTTTTAATTTAATTAAATCCCATTTATGTATTCTTGTTATTATGTATTCTGTTTGCCTTTGGGGTCTTAATCACAAATTCTTTGCCTAGGCCATTTTCTAGAAGAGTTTTTCCTATGTTTTCTTCTAGAATTTTTATGGTTTCATGCCTTACATTTAAATCATTCATCCATCTTGAATTAATTTTTATATATGGTAAGAGATATGGTTCCTGTTTCATTCTTCTGCATGTGACTATCCAGTTTTCCCAGCACTATTTATTGAAGAGGTCTTCTTTTCCCCAGTGTATGTTGTCTGCTTTGTTAAAGATCATTTGGTTGTAGGTAGATGGTTTTATTTCTTGGTTTTCTCTTCTGTCCCATTGGTCTATGTCTCTAATTTTATACCAATAACATACTGTTTTGGTTACTATAGTCTTTAAGTGAGGTGATGTGATGCCTCCAAATTTGTTCTTTTTGCTTAAGATTTCTTTGGCTATTAGGGCTTTTTTTTGGTTCCAAATGAAGCCTACATTACTTTTTCTAGATCTGTGAAATATCACGTTGGTATTTTTGATGAGGATTACATTGACTTTGTAAATCACTTTGGGCAGCATGAACATTTTAATGATGTTGTTTCTACTAATCCATGAATATGGGATGCTTGTGTCATCTATGATTTGTTCATCAGTGTTTTGTAGTTCTCCTTGTAGAGATCTTTCATAGGTACTTTATTTTCTTTGTAGCTATTGTAAATGGCATCGAGTCCTTGATTTGACTCTCAGCTTGACTGTTATTAGTATATAGAAAAGCTACTGATTTGTCCATGATTTCATAATCTGAGACTTTGCTGAATTTATTTATCAGTTCCAGAAGTCTTTTGGTGGAATCTTTAGGGTTTTCTAGATACATAATCATAGTGTCAGCAAACAAAGAGTTTGACATCTTCTTTCCTGCTTTGGATACTCTTTATTTCTTTCTCTTGCCTAGTTTCTCTGACTTTGTGTAGATTTGAGTGTTGCTCTTGGAACTGATTCCACTGTGGTCTGAGAAAATACATGGTATGATTTTGATTTTTTAAAAATTTTTTGAGACTTGTTTTGTGGCCTAATATATGATCAATCTTGGAAATTGTCTCATGTGCTGATGAGAATAATGTGTATTCAGTAAATTTGGGGTCAGATGTTCTATAAATGTCTGTTAGCAACATTTGTCCTAGAGTTTCATTTAAGTCCATTGTTTCTATATTGATTTTCTGCTTCAATGATCTGTCCAGTTCTGTTAGTGGGGTGTGGAAGTCCCTAGCAATTATGATGCTACCATTTATCCATTTATTTCTTTGCTTAGATCTAGTAAAATTTGCTTTATGAATCTGGGAGCTCCTATGTTAGGTACATATATATTTAGTATTGTTATGTCTTCTTGTTGAATTGCTCCCTTTACCATTATATAATGACCATCTTTGTCTGGTTGTTTGTTAGTTAGTTAGTTAGTTTGTTTGTTTGTTTCTTTTAGACAGAGTCTTGCTCTGTTGCCTGGCCTAGAGTGCTGTGGCATCAAGCTAACTCACAGCAACCTCAAACTCCTAGGCTCAAGCAATTCTTCTGCCTCAGCCTCCCGAGTAGCTGGGACTACGGGCATGTGCCACGATGCCAGGCTAATTTTTTCTATAGAGTTTTAGTTGTCCAGCTAATTTCTTTCTATTTTTAGTAAAGACGGGGTCTCACTCTTGCTCAGGCTGGTCTTGAATTCCTGACCTTGAGTGATCCTCTGGCCTCAGCCTCCCATAGTGCTAAGATTGCAGGCGTGAGCCACCACACCTGGTCTTTGTCTTTTTTTTTAAATCATTGTTTATTTAAAGTCTATTTCATCTGACATGAGAATGGCTACACCTGCTTAATGTTGGTTTCTATTTGCATGGAATATTTCTTTCCATCCCCTTACCTTGAGTCTGCAAGTCTTTGCGAATGGTGTGTTTCAACATATACTTGGAGACAGCATATATTTGGGTTTCTTCATCTATTCAGTAAGTCTGGCTTTTAAATGGGGCACTAAGACCATTCACCTCAGTGTTAGTATTGGTATGTGGGATACTGTTCTGTTTATCATGTTGGATGATATATTGTTGTTTTGTTTTCCCTCATGTACTCTTGTTTTATGGGAACTATGAGCTTCAACTTTTGGGTGTTTTTACACTGCTGGGTATCTGTTGTGGTGTTCCATGCACTTTTGAGTATTTTCTGTAGGGCAGGTCTAGTAGTGACAAATTCCCTCTGTTTGCTTGTCTGGGAAGTCTTTATTTCTCCATCATTTATGAAACTTAGTTTTGCAGGATACAAAATTCTTGGCTGATAGTTGTTCTTTTTAAGAAGACTAAAAATGGGGCCCAAATGCTTTCTGGCTTATAAACCTCTTTTGAGAAGTCTGCTGTTAGCCTGGTGGGTTTTCCTTGACAGATTAGTTTTTGCTTACATCTTGAGGCTTATAGAATTTTTTCCTTCATTTTGACTTTGGCCAGGTTGATGACTATGTGTCTTGGAGTTGGCCTATTTATTATGAATCTTCCTGTTGTTCAATGACCATATTGTATCTGGATATCTGAATCTCTGGTGATACCAGGGAAGTTTTCCTCAATAAATCCCTCAAATAGGTTTTCCATGCTTTTGTGCTTCCTCATTTTCTCCCTCAGGGATACCTATATTTCACATATTGGCTTGCTTCACATTGTCTCCTATTTCTCTGAGTAATTGTTCATTCTTCTTTATTATTTTTTCTACATCTTTTACCAACTGTGTTAGTTCAAAATCTTTGTCTTCAAGCTTTGAAATTCTTTCTTCTGTTTGTTTTAACCTGCCATTGAAGCTGTCTGATGTATTTTGAAATTCCCTAAATGAATCTTGCATTTCTTTAATCCCTGTTATATCCTTTCTTATGTTGTCTAGCTATTTAGTAACACTTTTTTTTTCTTAGTGTCCTGGATTTTTGGGGGGTTGGAGGCTTCTCTGTGTTGGTTTTCAACTTTCTCTTCAATCCCATTCATCTTATTTGCCATTCATATTTTCAATTTCATTTCAGCCATGTTGACAATTTCCTTTTGGTTAGGGTCAGTTGCTATAGACCTATTGTGATCCTTTGGGGGTGTCAAACTAGCTTGTTTTTTCATGTTGCCAGAGTTATTTTGCTGGTTTCTTCTTATCTGAAACTTCTCTCAGCTCAGGGCAGATAGGTTTGTGGTGCACCTGGTCTCCTTTGTTGGGAACTCTCCTACTTAGGGAGAAGAAGGAGAAGTCCCAGATGGTGCTTTTGTGACTTACTCTAGAAGACTCACCCAGCAGAAGAGGGGCAGATGCCCTGAGAGCCTACAGTGACACTCCTTGTGTTGTCCCTTTCCCCTGTGATTGTCATAGTCCAAGCTAGTGCTGGATGATCTTCATGTAGAGCAGTGGATTGTTCCCCAGAGCACTTTTGGAAGCTTGGGTAGGGGGACTGGGCAAGGGTGTTGTGGGAGATTGCTCTGCCTGGGTCTCCCCATGGTGATAGCAGTGGCAGCTGGGTGAGGCTATCTCGGTAGTGGTTGTGGGTATCAGGGCTGTGGGCATTCATTCCACCCGTGTCCAAGTATGATGGCAGCTCACAGTTAGTATGTCCCTGGAGGAGCATTGGACCACAGGGGCAGTTCCCACCAGGCAATGTGCCACATTATTTAAATCAGCAAGAAAACACACCTAAATCTGTCACAGTTGGATGTGGCACATTTGCTTATCTCCACATAGCAGCGAGCATCTGTCTACTTCATTGTGTTACCTGTTACCTGTGCCATTTATCTATCATATGTGAACCATTATATATCAAACTGCATATTATTTTATTATGAATTTATTTTCTTTGTACTCTTACATTAAGTTAGGACATTATATTGATATTTAATCATTTTAGGTAAATTAATATTATTTATGAATTTCACTTCATTGTAGGATGAGGGTCATTCCCCAATACTTTTTTTAAAAGCAGCATTAGTATGGACACAGTCTCTTTAATTAAATAAAATATGATGTATTATACTATGGAATACCCTGCTACAGTTGAAAGAATGAGCTAAATCTATATGCACTGATATAGAAAAAGCTGTAAGTTGCCGGGTGCGGTGGCTCACGCCTGGGTGACCACAACCCCCCAGAGCCATCTGGGGGGTTGTGGTCACCCAAAAGCATCTCCTAGCACTCTGGGAGGCCGAGGTGGGTGGATTGCTCGAGGTCAGGAGTTCAAGACCAGCCTGAGCAAGAGCGAGACCCCATCTCTACTATAAATAGAAAGAAATTAATTGGCCAGCTAATACATATAGAAAAAGTCAGCCGGGCATGGTGGCGCATGCTTGTAGTCCCAGCTACTCAGGAGGCTGATGCAGGAGGATTGCTTGAGCCCAGGAGTTTGAGGTTGCTGTGAGCTAGGCTGACGCCACGGCACTCACTCTAGCCTGCACAACAAAGCGAGACTCTGTCTCAAAAAAAAAAAAGAAAAGAAAAAGCTGTAAGTTGAGTGAAGAAAGTTGTTTCAGAAAAATATATACAGAATGATATCAATTATATAAAATATATACACACAAAGCCACACTATGTATGATTATATACACACAAAGAGAGAAAAGACATGGGAGGAGAAGTCTAGAAGTCTAAAAAATAAACTGATACCAGAGAGATGGAATCAGGAATGGTAGTCCATGTGGATTTCTGCTTTATTTGCACATGTTTGAATGTGTACAAATAAAATGTGTGCCAGTATTCATTATATAATTTAAAACTATTAAGATAAAAATTATGACAAGAATTGCTGGGGAAAAAATCTATGCCCAGGTTATCGTGGCTGTCAGCCAGCGTCTGGCCTGCACTACAGAGCAGCTTTCTACAGGAGCAGCCTCTCAGCACAGTGACCGCATACCTGGGGCTGCACGTCCTGGATGCTGAAGGGACTTCACCAGGCCCAGCATTCCTGAGCCTCTCTGAGCCCAGCCTGTGGCACCTGACCCCCCACAGCTCGAGTCAGTCACAATGGATTCCTGCATCCTTCTGCACACTGCGCTTTGACTTGGAGCCCACCCTAGTCCAGATGGAGCCCCCCACTGAGTGTGACACCTGTAGGAAGTATGCAGCCCAATCCGGAGGTCTGCCATGTGGGAAGCAGCATTGCATTATCATTGCTAGCTGTAAGACAGGCCTAAAGTGTCACCCAGCTTTGGAGCCTTAAATACAGCATAGTGAGGCCAATTGCTCTGCAGCCATCAAGGTAGAACTGAGCCAAACTGGGCTCCCACCCTCCTTTCCAGACCAAGGCCCTAATAGGCATTAAGAGCCCCCAGACATGTAACAGGATGGGGGTGGGAGCACCAGAGGAGGGTTAGTATGAAATCCTGGGTCTCCTGCCATCACTGTAGAGAGGGAGGGCTCAATGCACTCTGAGGGAGATGTGGCCATCTCATCCCGTGTGACCACAGCAGAGCCATCTGGGGGTTGTGGTCACCCAAAAGCATCCCCTCTCAGAAGATCGTGGAGCTCATTGTCAATATTAGCTACAGCAGGAAAACTAGAATTCACCTTTTGGCAAGACAGCAACAGCGACAGACCGGTACATTTACACAGCCCAGTTTGGAGGAAGATGTTTTATACATGAAAGAGCAATTTGTACACAGTTATTTCCCCAGGTCCTCACAGCCTAGGGGACAAATGACACATCACCATGGCACTAGGCCCTGTGCTCCCTGCCAGCTCATTCTGTGGGTCTCCAGGCCCAGCCCTCCCCTGGGCTTCCAGCCCCCTCACAGCTGCCCAGGGCTCTGCCCCCACAGCTGTTGTGCTCCCGGCTGTCGCTGCCTGTCCAGGCCACTGCCTGTGACTACCTCACCACCGGCTCCCAGGCTTAGGGCGCTGGTCCTACCCCCGAGGAATGTGCTCTGTCCATTAACCACAGACAGGCGAGCCTTCAGGGGATCACACAGACCTTTTTCTCTGTAGGACACACACTTCAGACAGGTATCTCAGAAGACGAACAACACCCTGAGAAAACCTGGCTGGTGACAAGACTGGTGTCCCATGACAGCTCACACACCAGCACCCTCTCCAAACATGGATGCGAGTTCCCTGCCTTCCAGGGAGCCGAGGAGGCGACATTCTTTACTGCTCCTTTACTTTTTTCACAGTCTAAACCCCAGAGCCCCCAGAACAGAGCCCTCACTGCCAAATTCCTCCTCACATAAATAAGATTCCTGGTGTCTACACAGAGGCGAGAGTTCAGTGCAGGGACAGGGTGTGAGTTCTGGTGTCAGACCAGCTAGGTTTGAAGGGCACCTTCACCAATACTGACTGTATAACCCTGAGCTAGTTACTTGCATTCCATGGGTTTCGGTTTACTTATCAGTGAAACAAGCAAACCACAAGAGTTCTCATAAGACTGAATGGCCACGTATGTGACACGCCCAGCACGGTCCTGGTTCGTATAAGAACAGAAGAGCCATCTGTCCTGGGGCCACCTGGAGAGGTGTGCAGGTGAAGCCCCCATCCTGACTTTCCCACACAGAGTTGTACAGTTTAAAGGCCTGTGTTCTGACTTCCCTCCCATCTCATTTTGGTATTGCCTTCTTATCTCCGAACTCTTCCACGGGAGAGTGAGGATTCTTCTGACATTGTGACTTTGTTTCTGGAGGCTTCAAGCAAATAGTGTTCCTAGAATTTTAGATCTTAACACTGAAGGGCCCTTAGGAGACCACGTAGTCTTGCCCAGAATTTAGGTAAGATCTTCTTATCCCCACCCAAAGCCAAGAAAGATGAAAAGACTTGCCTAAGCTCTCACAGCTAGTGAGAGACGGGGGATCAAAGGCAAAGGCAGTTGTAAAATGAGGACATTTGGTCCGTCACTTCCACTGCCCAGGACTGTCCCTTGTTCTTGGTGTCTGACTCCCAGCTTCTTCAGTGCTGAGAAAGTTTCTGTACAGTAGTTACGTTTGTCCATTTCTCCTCCCGCCGACCAGTTACAATGAGGCACTTCATAAGGACTTGGGGACAACAGCAATAATACTTATGATGATGACAAGATAAATGCCATCTTTCTGTTATTTTTTTCTTTTTTTCAGTTCTGAGTGTTGTAAAAAGGCAATGAGGGATGTATTTTAAGCTGGAAGCGTGATAAGGAAAGACGGAATAAGTCCTCACAAGGAAATAAAAGGCGAGTAGGGAACTGAACAAATTTCAGAGCCCCTTCTGGACAAACACAACCTTTTCGCGGAAGACCGGGCGCGGGGAGGGCGGTGGGTGACGTCAGCACTGACGGGGAGAACCGCAGAGCAAAGGTGCCCTCAGAAAGTGACCTTTATTTTCGATCCTGCTAGGCTGTAGGGAGACGCAGACCGATATTCACATCACAGAGCACAAGCAGAGAGCAAAACAGGAAAATTGGAAGAGTAGACAGCAGGAATAGAATGCATTAAACAGAGGAAAGGATAGAAAAATGTCAGAGCGTAGCTAAACTTTTCATTCATTTTTGTTCCTCTACCAGGTGACAAACAGCAGAGGAGAACAAAAAGACTGTCGTAGTCGTGGTATCCTGTCCTTCCAAGAAAACCAAGACCCTAAATCCAAAATCACCACACGATGACTTAGTTTTTACAGAAGGCGCTGTAGCGGGGGAGAGAGAAGGAGGCGACATTCCATCGTGCACCTCACTGCAAATCTTCATAAATGTCCCCTTAACTGTCTCGGCTGTTTTTAGCCAATGCCGTGCTCCTGACGGCATCTGACAGCCCTCCGTCTGTTCCCTGGCCTTCTTCCGACGACCCTCTTCCAGGCCTTTCTGGTTCCTGCCTCTCATTCTCCACTGCCAGCCCCCTTGCTCAAAGTCCTCCAGCCTGCGTACCCCATCAGCCGAACGAAATCCTAGTGCAGCACCACTGTTGCAAAAGCGTTTTCCCAGGGGGCAGAAATTCGTTCCGGCACCCCTACATTCACACTGAGATCGATAGGGGTTTTAGAGACCAAAAATATAACTCTGCCAACGTGCATACAGGAGTTGGTTAACTTCCCTCACCTCCACGGCTAAGCAGCCAGCACACCTGCTGCGGCACAAGTGAGATGTCGCTCATCCTCCTCGCCCCTTCCACGCACTGCCCAGGTGGGAGCCCTTGCTGTTTCTTCCCTGGACCACTGTGTCTCGGATTTCAGCCTCTGCCTCTGCCACCTCCTCCTCCCTCCGGCCACCAGAGCTCAAAGCGCTCATCTGAGCCTGCAGCTCCCGTGTTCAAAACATTTGCTGGCTCAAGGTCAGATAAAGAGGAAAGTTCAGATAGAGAGGAAAGCTCAGACTCTGTAATCTGGTCACCAAGGCCGGCTCCAGCCTGAGCTCATCCCTTAGCTCTCCCTCCTCACCCCAACGCCACCCGTCACCCCGCGCAGAGCACCGTTTCTTGGACAGACCGCCAGTTTCTCGTTGTGCATGTTATCAACCTGTTGTCGCCTGCCGGGGCCTCAAACAGCCTTTGAGGCCCAGCTGACTCTCGCCAGCCCCTGCACAGCCTCCTGCACCTGCTCCGAGCCCTCTCAGCTCTCACTGGACCAGGACAACAGCCTCCTAGCCTGTCCTTGCTTCTACCCTCGGCCCTGCCCCCACCCCATGTATCCCCTGCACACGAGCCAGGTTGGTCCCCTCAAAGATAAGTCAGAGAGCCCATCTCCTTTGAGTGTCTCCTCCCCAGTGGTCCCTGCCTCCCTCAAGGCCAAAGTATTTAAAACAGCCTGGAAGTCCCTGTGTGTGATGTTTCCCACCCAATACCTCTCTGTGACCATCCCCACCTAAAACACTGGCCTCCCGGCACGTTCAATGGGAACAGGGTTTGGGGGTTTGTCTATTTTTGTTGTCTACCAGTGTACCCCCAGGACTGGGAAAGTGCCTGACTCATAACAAGGACTCCTTTGCTTTCTTGAATGAATGCATAGAAACTGCCTATTGAAGTCATTCTTCCAGGCCCGACACAAAGGCTACCTTTTCCCATATTGCTCCTGTCACAACTAGCCTCCTGTATTCCCATGGTCCTTTGCTTCGGCCTCTAAAGCTTCGGGTTGACCAGAGTCGCCTCCCATACAGGTGCATCCCCCTCCCACAGACGGGCTTCTGGAGGGCAAAGGAGCTCAGGTGCATGTCAGGAAGCCGGGTCTCAGAGAGGTTAAGAAAAATGTCCGAGGCCTTACACATAGGAGGCCATGAGTTAGGATTCAACAGAATCCAAAGTCTTCTGAACACCCTTTCCACTAACCCCAATGCCTCTCAAAACAAGCAAACAAACACAAACTTGCTAAGGTTTTAATTTTAGTCTAATATATAGTACTTCCCAAGAATTATTAAGACAAAAAGAAGAGGCCGGGCGTGGTGGCTCACCCCTGTAATCCTAGCACTCTGGGAGGCTGAGGCAGGTGGATCGTTTGAGCTCAGGAGTTCGAGACCAGACTAGGCAAGAGTGGGACCCTGTCTCTACTAAAATTAGAAAGAGATTAATTGGCCAACTAAAAATATATAGAAGAAAACATTAGCCAGGCATGGTGGTGCATGCCTGTAGTCCCAGCTACTTGGGAGGATGAGGCAGTAGGATTGCTTGAGCCCTGGAGTTTGAGGTTGCTGTGAGCTAGGCTGATGCCACAGCACTCCAGCCTGGGCAACAGAGTGAGACTCTGTCTCAAAAAAACAAAACAAAACAAAACAAAAATGAAAAAAAAGACAAAAAGAAGAAGAAAGGAAGAAAGGAAGAAAGCGAAAGAAAGCAAGAAAGGAAGGAAGGAAGGAAGGAAGGAAGGAAGGAAGGAAGGAAGGAAGGAAGGAAGGAGAGAGAGGCCGGGCGCAGTGGCTCACGCCTGTAATCCTAACATTCTGAGAGGCCAAGGTGGTGGATCATTTGAGCTCAGGAGTTCGAGACCAGCCATAGCAAAAGTGAGACCCCATCTCTACTAAAAATAGAAAGAAATTAATTGGCCAACTAAAAATATATAGAAGAAAAAATTAGCCGGGCATGGTGGCGCATGCTTTAGTCCCAGCTACTCCGGAGGCTGAGGCAGAAGGATTGCTTGAGCCCTGGAGTTTGAGGTCACTGTGAGCTAGGCTGATGCCACATCACTCTAGCCTGGGCAACAAAGTGAGACTCTTTCTAAAAAAATTTTAAAAATTAAAAAAAAAAAGAAAGGAGAATGAAAAAAGAAACGAGGGAGGGAGGCAGTGACAGAGGGAGGGAAGAAGAAGAGAGGAGGAAAGGGAGGAAAGGAAGGGAGGGGAGAAGGAAAGAAAGAAGAAAAAAGAAAGAAATGCTTCAGTCACTTTTCGTTAATCTGTGCTCTGCCTAGATGACATGGCAGCTTCAGCGTAAGAAGGCTTAATCAGACCACAAGCATCTCTCTCTAGCTCATAAGCTAACAGACACATTACGAACAGTGATCACCCTGTCTTCCAGCCAGCACCTCCAGGATGCCTTGATTTCTGCCCTTTGTGTGTGTGTCGGAAGCAGAAATCCTGAAAGTAAAGGCAACATCATCATATGCCCCTCCCTGCCTTCCACCCTTACCTGATCAGAAGGCTGTCATTACTGGGATGACTAAGTCAAGTTAATAAAACTACTTTCTAGCCTAACATCCTGCCATCTTCATCATAGCAGGAATATATGAAAATCACTGTCACTTTCATACCATGTTGATAAATATCCCCGTGATATTCTAAGATTTTATAAACAGAAGTTACCTATGGCTAGCACACCTGGAATTTGAAGATACAGGTGCAGTTACCAACTTTGCTCACTAGGTGGCTCTCAAATTGTATGACCTGTGGCCTGGGTCCCTTCCAGACTCAGGGAGGGATAGGTTTGGAAATGCGTGCTTTAATTTCCACCAGGGGTGGTTGTTATCTGTATGTTGGAACATCTGTGCTTCTGGATGTGCAAACTGATAACAGTAACCTCTAGCTAGAACTTGTTAGAAGAAATTATAAATTGTCCTATTAGAATCCCTTTAAAAAGGACTTCTTCAAAGCAAAATATAAAAGAAATCCAATCTCTGCCTGATTAAGAGGTCCCATATTTATGAAGTACTTCTATTATAAGACACCAATATAATACTACCACCAGAGCACAGGACTAATAACTTCTGCAGTAAATGTGGGTTATGGCAGTCTTTTTCCCAGCCCTCTACAGAAGGTAGTGCCCCAGAACCCCTCACCCAAACTAGCAACAAAACTGTACATCTTTAAAATAAACTAGGCTAGCCTAATCCAGAAGACAAGGCTGATGGTATACTTCACCCCTCTCCACTCTCATGCCAGCTAAACTAAAATTGACTTCAAAACATGGCCGATTTACCACTTTCTCTTCCCCTCCTGAGATCTAACCAGTAAACTTTTTGACAAGGACCAAGCTATCACTGTGCTCCCAGGGGATTCTGGTGTTTAACACTTGTCTCAACCTGTTCTTATTAAATTTCTGACATGCCCCAGTTCACTGAGACACATTTGTTCTCTTCCTTTCCCTCCCTCCCTCCTACCTGCCCAGGCACTAATGCAGCATATTAATTTCTCGGGTTAGCAACACTATCTTCTCAGGCAGCCGAGCAAACAAGTGAAGGGAGAAACACGATGATTTCTCATGAGACACACACGAATATCATCGTTAAGAGTTTTTGAGGCACAACCCATTCACATGACTAAGCCCTCCAACGTTTTCATCTCACCACTGCAGAAATCAGATGAAATAATAGGATAATTGTGAGTTGGCTTTGTGTTTACTTTGGTGTGAGAGCTGGTCAGAATGGGGTTAAGGATGGTTATGTAATACATAACCGCAAGTGAATTCCCATGGGGCTCCCTTTTTCTCTTCCCTCAGCCCCAGGAACAAGCCCCCCTCCCTCCTTGGGGCTGCCGCCATCCATTCTTCAATGCCAGTTTCCTCTTCCCTGTGGTCCACACCAGAATGCAATGCAGGCTCACAGCTCTCCCACTACCTTCCTGCCTCTAAATCAAACAGAATGCTCTGCAGGATTTCCATATTGCAGAGGTGGATGCTGGATTTAAAAAATAAATAAGTGCAGAGAATTGCAATTTGTCCTGAAAGTGTTAGAGTGGTGTTTACTTTCATAATGCATGATAATGTAGATGGATCAAGTGTGATCTCTCTCAGCTCCTTTTCTCATCTTTGCTCTCCTCTCCTTGACATCTGAGCTTCATCCAGACATCCCTTTTAATCCGCGGACTGATGCTACTCTGTCTCCTCCATCCTCCAGCAGACTTTACCCTTGAATCTCTCAAAACTCTTGCAAATAAACCAGTTCAAGAGGACACAAAAATAAAAACGATGTATCCTGGAGTTGCATGATGGTACCAGGAGGTCTTGCTTGCACATTTCTCAAATCTGTACTTGTCTCATATGCTTCGAGGTAAACACCTATGACCAATGTCGTTAGCCCCATTTCTTCCATTGTGCAGATGAGGAACCTGGGGCTCAAAAAGCTAGGTGATTTGCCCGAGATGACAATATTATGAAGTTACAATATTAAAACCTATGAAGTGACAATATTAAAACCTTCTAATGGATGACTTTGTTTCTGATACCTCAGAGAAAACTTCAAACTGCCTCTATATGAAGACAGTCCTATTTATGGCATGAAGACTCAGCTACCTAAACAGTATCGAGTGTCTTCCTCTTGGCAAAGTGGCTAGAGGAAGGGAGGACATGTGGAGTGAGGGCAGGGGGTGAACTTTGGGGCATGGGGCATTGCTCACATACCTCTGCATATATTTTATCAATTAAAGAAAGGGCCATTTGGGTTGGCAAAAATTCTCCTTTAAAAATGGAAGTACCTTCGGGTAGGATTAAGCTTCTCAGAGACACTTAAACCACAAGGGTCACTCAATGTAGCAATTCGTGCATAGAATGTTTAACCACAGGTCAACAAGTCTTTAAAAATAAGGTGTCCTGCCTGAGCAAGAGCAAGACCCCATCTCTACTAAAAATAGAAAGAAATTAATTGGCCAACTAAAAATATATATAGAAAAAATTAGCCGGGCATGGTGGCACATGCCTGTAGTCCCAGCTACTCGGGAGACTGAGGCAGAAGGATTGCCTGAGCCCAGGATTTTTGAGATTGCTGTGAGCTAGGCTGATGCCATAGCACTCTAGCCTGGGCAACACAGTGAGACTCTGTCTCAAAAAAAAATTAAATTAAATTAAAAATTAAGGTGTTCTTTATTCAATAGAATACATACAGCAATGAGAATGAATCTATGCACAACCATGGGTCAATGGGAGAACTGAGTTACCAAAGAATATGTATCCAATGATTGTGTTTTGTAAAGTCCAAAAACAGGCAAACCTTAAGTCAGGATATTTGTTAACCCTCGAGGGCAGGCAGATGGTAAAACAGACGTGAGGCTTTCCCTAACATCTTTGTTTCTTGAAACCCTGAATAAGGTTTATGGCCACAGGAACAGAAGTCAGACAGAACTGGATTAAAACCTTGGTTCTGCAACTGAGTGACTTTGAACAATTTCAACTCCCTGTGTCTCAGATTTTTCCACCTATAAAATGGGACTAATAATACCTTCCTCAGAGGGTTGGTGTGAGAAGTAAGTGAAACAATGTATGTAAAGTGCCCCACAGCATGCGTAGGTGCTGTAATAAATGGGAACCATCATTAACCCCGCCCCTGTCGCCTGGTGGAAAGAGTACAGATGAGAAGGAAAGGGAAGGAACAAACAAGACTTATGATCAAAGATGAGCAGAATCCCCCAGGATGCCGTCCTGGAGAGTTTCTGGAGAGCGAGGTCTCTTCCCTTCCCACTGCCTACTGGGCCTCCTCAATCTTGCTGCCTGCAAGTGCAGGCTGGCCCAGCACAGCCAAACAAAGCTGTTTTGGTCCCATCCACGCAGGC